AAAACCTTAGTGACACAGCTAACTGGAATTCAGACATCCATAATTGTATATATACATTCTTGATTTTCTTGGCATGTCAAAATGTCTTATCTGAAAACAGCCTACAGAGTAACTGCCACACCTAATGGAACACAGGCATCATTATTGTTCTTGACTGACTTAGCTGCTGTGGAAAAACGATTTACATTTAACAGATTTGATTTGATTTGATTATATACACCTCATACTGAATCACCTCACTGCTGCATACAACATTTCTTGATCAGGCTACCGTCATGCATATATGGTAACACCATTATTCTTCAATCCTGTCTACTGTATGTTATAAACAATGAGGAAGGCCTGTCCCCACAGGCAGCGTTCCTCCTTCTTTGTCTGTGTATCTCTCTCTGTGTCACACACAAATGCATATCCTGCTACATTGTTTCATCACTGCCTTTTATGCAAGGTTGTAAATAAACTCTGTGTTTTTGTCAATTTTATAGCTTGGCGCTTCAGATCAAAAGCTTCAAGCAGCCCAGTGTTCTCCCCACGCTGCTGATGGATTTCGTCTCCCAATACTGCTTCAAACTGCCGAAAGAGAAAAAATGCCGTCGCAGAAAAAGGTTTGTAACGCAGATAAGTATATTCATGCATATCTCTTATAACTTTTGGTTACAGATTTCCAAGTCTAATGTGTGAGCTCAGTTAGTCTTAGTGCAAAAGATGAATTGGCTGCGTTCTGTTTCTAATATTGTTATGTGTTTGTTTTCTAGCTGTTCTAGAGGCTTCATTAAAACCTCTGACCTACTTCAAACACTTAAGAAGATGGAGGGAAAAGACAGTGGCGGGGTGCAAAATCCAGGCAATGAGAGGAAAAGAGGGATTCCTGTTCGCCTTTATAAGCGATGCCTAAGGCTGGAGAAAGAAGCTAATATTATGGCACGGCTCACATGATTACAGACTAAGCTGCTATGTGCAGCACCGGCAATGACTTTTATAAGCTTTAAATTCATGCAGCAGATTCTGTTTCTCTGATGGTTTAAAAGAAAGTGTGATGAAAATAGGAGGACTCAAATCCTTGAATAGGGTTATATTATTGTAAGAATGCCATGGATGTAAATGTAATATATTTATAAAGAACAAAAATCCAAACCCTCCAACTGAAATTGTAATACACTCATTTATTTCATAATTTTTTTGAAAATCATGTGGCTGAGGCATTTTCTTGTAAAGGTCACCTTTTATGTTCACTGCATGTTGAGTTAATAGAAAAATAACTAAACGTGCTGCTTTATAAAACAACCCACAATCTTATTATAATCATAACCCTACATGAATAAAGTTCAACACAAAATCTTGTTTTGCCTTTCTACTGTAGGAATGATGATTATTATTGACTTGCTACACATATTCAGTGTGATCTATTGTATCCCTGTGTCTCATAATGTATGATGCAAAATGTGCAGTGAGTCATAAAATGTGTTGCATTAGGGTTTTTTCGACATGTTGTTTGCAAGATAAGAGAGATTGTAAATGGCTACATTACTTTTGTGAAACAAAATCAATGACCCATTCCTGTTCAACTGGACAATTGGCAGGTTTCTACCTTCTCAAAAACAATGCCAGGGCAAATTTTCAAGATCTAGGGGGCACCATTGTGTAGAATACTTTCAGGGCTCCAAAAACATGTGATAATGTGAAGTTTATAAATGAAAGAAAAATGCTCTTCACTCATTACCTCACTGTGGTTTTCATTGCTGTTTGTCCAAAAGCAGGGCTACGCAGAACTACAGCACTGATTCTGGGGTCTGAGTCATGAAGAACACATTCACTTGTGACCAGAATTCTTTTTTGGGAATATTTTTACTGATTTCCAAGGGAACAATTCATGAATCTTGAAAAATCTATGTTTGTTTGCCTGTTAGTTAGTAGGATTACCAGAAGAAAAACTACTGGACAGATTACCACAAATCTTCTGTTGCTTTCATTGAATTCAAGGATCTTGATGAATTAAATCAATCATATTCAGGGGACTGATATTCATGTGTGTGTGAAATTTGATGCAAAGAAAGATCTGGTTCTTGTGAATATAAATGTGTTTTCATTAGGGGACTGTAGCACCTTGGCAGAATGCACTCTATTAAGTACAATTCAAGTTTAGCTCTTATCTCTTAAAACAATGTAATGTCATATTAGCCAAGTAGCTTAGATACAGACCATAACTGTGACCTTAAAGTGGATTAAACATGATAAAAAGGGACAGCTCAAATCAAACACATATAAATATCAGCAGCTGAGTTTATTTAGCTGAAACTTATCATTCTCTTGTGATCTGACATTCTGTGGGTGTGATGTATAGATAAATAAATTAAATGATATAAATACAGTAAGTATATACAGTAAAAATAAACTATAAAAGAAATCCTCTGAGCTAACCATAGTGTTTTACTCATTGTTCAGTGATCACTTCTGTGATCTCCACAATGAACTCATGAATTTTTGACAGCTTTCATCCTGGCCCCGCGGTGCATGCTGGGAGCGGCTCGTTGGCCTTGGAAACATGGCGTCGCGCTGACAGCTGGGAGACTTACATTATCTGCTCCAGCCACTGACACAGCGGCGGGACCGTGAGCCGAGCCGTCTGCCCGCAGCTCCTCGCCGCGAAACGGGCTCGCTCCGGCTGCCCTCCTCCTCCCGAGCAACCCGACGAAGCGGCGCGACAGCGGATTCAGCGCGGGTGTCACGCCCACTCTGCTCGGTAACGTTATAACGAGCCCGTACGGTGAGTTAGCTCCAAGCTAACCCAGCCAGACAGCTAGCAGCCGCTGTTAGCACGACACGAGCAGCGATATTATGTGAAGCGGAGCCGCCGCCGCTGCCTGCTCACTGCACGGCTGTCGTGTGATAGCTTCCCCGCCCCGTTAGCACACCACCGGCAAACACAACTGACAGTTAGCACGGAGACGGAATCGACTGTTATGTTATTGTAGCTCGCTAGCAGGCTAGCTAGGGCGTTTCTGTCACTCCCGTCACTGAATTTTTAATGTTCGACCCCTTTGGCATCACTGTCGGAGGGGAGAGCGATGGGCTCCGGGGCCGTGGATTCGTCCCAGTGGCTTTCGGTGAAGGAGGAGACGATTTTCCTCCACGACGGACTCATTCGGGTCACGGACTTGGCCGAACTGCCCAGTGAAATCGGAGTGTCGGAGCAGGGGGACACCGAGCAGGAGGTGGGTGAAATCCATCTCTCGCTCAAACTCATACACACACAAAGGTTTAATACACAGAGACACACGCTCGTTGCTGTGGTAGCTGTGTGTTCCAGTGTCTTTTGAATGTAAATGTGTTTTTTCAGTGTCTGCTGCTGCAAACCATCAGGCACAAAGGTCGCGCTCACGTTTGCAAGTTGACTGCCTGGCTTGTCACCGATCTGCTGTTATACACTGATGTCACCTTGTTTCCTGGAAACTCTTATTATGAGTCATGTAATTGAATTGACTTCAATCTAATTAAAGAAGCATACATTTACTTAGTATATGATTCCATTATCCCTTCTTTTGACAAGTTCAAGGGAAGCTATGGTTCGTTATCAATCTAATATTCTATTCAAATGATTCTTTTTTGTACCTGAGGTGTTGCACTAGCTTGCATGAACAACCTCTACCTCAGGTGTCAAGTTGCACAACTTTATTAGTGTTGCAAGTGCAGCAGCTTCTCTATGCAGGCGACTACTCAAGTAGCATCAAACTGTAAACATTCTTTTTGCATGCTCTAACAGCAGAGAACAGACCAGTATTTTATAAAGCAAGTGTTTGTACACATCTATTACATAAACCTGTAACGACAGCATCACCAAATAACGTCAACTGTCTTCAATTAGCGTCAGGTGTAGTGTCCTCAATGGATAGTTTCCATATTAATATTCTAATGGCTGTAGGATGGGAGGAGGTGCAGTTCCACACTTCATAGTGGGAAGTGTTTTTATTTTACATAAAAACTGTGCTGAGATTGGTTTACGGCTTTTGTGCTCATTAACAGACACTGCCTGCTCGATGTAGTCTTTACAAGAGTGTGGTCATTGCGACTGGGTCTATTACTATGACATAACCTCCTCTGTTCTAACCTCTTGACCAAGTATGTAATTGGTGCTATAAATGAGCAGTTGTTAGCTGCCTTCCTCCACAAAACCACATTGTATTTGGTGGTATTAGTACCATAATCTGGTATCTATTATGTTATTAGATTAGTGTTGGAGAAGATCTGCTGATGGCTCCTTTCCTGTTGTTTAACTGCCTATATACAGTATCTGCAACAACTGGTTCATTAGTGACAGTGAAAGTTCAAATTTGAACCCTCAAACTTTGGCAGTCTGTTAAGCTCCACAGCTGAACTACAGTGACCAACCCAGCTTATGAAGTTGTACCAAACACAGTGCTGCCTAATTAAGTCCAAATTACATGTTACATAATCATAATCTGTACAGTCCTTATATATCATGACATTTTTAGGTATCAATAATACATATTGTTGAATATAAAGCATGATTACTACATACGTTATTCATTATTCACATGATAATGTCTATCAGATCCCAAAGATAATAAAATAAAAATGGTTACATGCATGTGGGTGAGACTTGTAAGAGTCTGAATTTCTACATTTAATTCCTCCTGTCCAGCCTTAAGACTGACTGGGTCATTCAGTGCTGTTTTCGTAGGTGTACTGATGCTGACTATTTTTATCCACTTGCAGCAGTGTTTAGCAGAGCAAGGTGGAGAAGGCCCAGCATCCAGTTAAGGAGTGTTACTGTAACACTAGTAGCATTTCTGAAATTGAATCAATACAAATTGTGCCTGCTAAATGGTATAATGGATTTTTTTTCCTAGCCCATGGTTCGTGGGCCACAGAGTGTAATCAATAGTAGAAATGCTGCTTAAGTGCACATGATGCACATTGTTTCACTGGTGATAGGCTACCCCAAATGTGCATTGTTATCTATAACCATTATTTCATAGTCCACAGAAACGGTGGGTTTAACGGTGGATTTGTTCAGTGGATTCATAGTTACACTGCATAAAATACTGTAAATCAAACCAGTAATTCATAGGCATACTAGAAATAATGTAGTTTTAAACGAAGATCTTGACTCCATATTAACCTACAACGTAAACATTTAAAGACGGTTTGTATTGTCATGCTGTGTGAGCTCATAGACTATGGATAAAGACAAGATATATATATATGTATATGTATACTGTATGTCTTTTTGTGACATTTTGGAAATGCCTCTCACAAACCCAAATTCAGTTCATGTCTGTGTAATTGAAATTCTCCACCAGTGTGCTTTTCCTCTGATTCAGATTCAGAAAATGTATGTTTTGTAAATGAATGTTCCCTTTGCATTGGAAAAGTTAATTAGTCTCTAGCCAGACCAGGCCAGGAAATAACTTTTTATTCTGTCTTTTGTTTATTTATCAAGCTTCAGAAAAATGGCCACACTTTAACTACTGTTATCATAATTCTTTCACTCGTCTCCTCTTCTTCGCCTCATTCTCTGTCCTTCACTCCAGATTCTAACATTTGAGACAAAGAACCCGGTGGAGCTAGCTGAGCGTCTACGCGCTGTCTGTGGGAATCAGAGCAATGCATACGCACGCCTGCTGGAGTATCGGCTCAACGCTCTGCGTGGCCTGTGGGGTGCACAGCGGCAGCTGGCCCTGGAGGAGCAGCAGGAGCGAGAGGGGACCGGAGGGGCTGATGAGGAGACCTTGGCCTTGCTCAAGAGACAAGGTCTGCTACAGCAACCCGAGCAGGCGCCCTTCACCTCGCGTGTTGGTCTGCTGCTGGTCTTCCCCCTCTTGCAGTCCCAGACCCGCAGTGACCCAGCACTCTGCGGTGTCACGGCAGAGGTACTGCTGGCCTGCCTCCGGGACTGCCAGCCACTCAGTCTCAGC